TAAAATCATTAAGGAAAACCATTTAGCTGTGATAAACCACAAAAAAGGCAAAAATGATGGATTGTACTAATCTTTAATGAATCTTTCCTTTACTCGCTCATATACTTTAATACCACATAATATAACAACTTTGTTAAATTGCATAGGTATGATAATTTGTAGAAGTAATTGTTGGATCATTACAAAACATGCACAGTAGCATTTCATAAACAAATGCCTATGTACTGTACAAATACCTATTTAATGTATTCTAACTGCATTGTTTGGGGTGAGTTTACAATAAAACTATCATAATAGGTAGTTTGAACTAACTCCATGGAGACTCTTGCAAAATGCAATCCAATATACACCCTTCATCTCATTTCCAGTGTATTGGTTTAATCACCAGTTTTTTCCTGAATTCTACTCAACACCAGGAGGAGGCATGTTAATATGTTAATCTGAGGGGACATGTAAATATGTTAATCTGATTGCATTCAGTGAGTGTCCCCAGGGTGTTAGTTTAACTACCTAGTCTGATATTTTTTTTATGAATACAGCCTTGGTTAGATGTCAAAAATACTTTTCACAGTTACACCTCAGCAATACAGCTGTAACGAAATGATTTGAAAGGTTTTATGATGTAATCATGCCAAACTAGTTTTTACTCCCTTAATTAATAATCCATGTAGAGTGTACAGGGGCAGATTGAGGCTGTCTTCTGGATTTTTCAGAAGATGGTCAGATTTTCAAGTTTACGTTGACAGGTATCTAATTTCGGAAGACGGTCAAAAATGGAGGATAAATCAACAAATATAATTTGGAAGATCGTCAGAAAATATCTCTGGAACCTCCTGTGGTGTAGGTCCCATTTAGGCTAGCTTCCATCAAACTCGACCAAGGTGGCTCTCCCACGTGAAAGCCAGGCTATTATTTGTCAATCTCTCACAACATATCAGCACAGCTGTATCCATAATTTATGTTGAAAGGTCTTTTGTCTCCAAGCTGAACTTTATTAAAGGAAAATAATGTTAAAAATGTAAGTTGACAATAAGGCATGGTCAGACATTTTGTGATTGAGTGGGCAAGTTTTAATATACCTATAACACTTCACTCATGCTGATATGGTAAATTGATAATGATAAAACTGATCCAGAATAAAAATTCAAAACTTCATAAATTTGATGATCTTCATGATAATGGTGTGAACATTCTTCAAAAATTTCTTATGCAGAATATCTAATCGTGGAGAGATATCCTATATGGTTCAGGAATGTACTGTAGTACGCCTAAAATAAATGAAATATCTTTGCAATAACATTGCAATATCTTTAAAAGACTTTTTAAAGTGTAAATATCACAAGAAAAGGAAATAATTTTAATTTAAAACAAAAGAAAAATCAAATTAAGCATCATTAAAATTAAGGGTAAAATAGTTAAATTTGACCTTCGGAGCTTAATAGTAGTTGCATACATCTACTTTACAGTTTGTTCATGTTTGTAAAATCAAATTATTGGTATTGCCTAGTGATGCATGTTGGTTGTATATGGCTTTATACATTTTAGGTGTTATACATCCCTTACCTTTGTCATCTAGGAATTTCCTGCTAAAAAGCTTTGCATAATACCTCTGAAATGTTAAAAAAAAAGCAATATCATAACTCTTACTTTTAAACCTTTCTAATTTTGAAGCAGTAATTCTTTATATCACTGTTTTAAACCAAAGCAATAACCTTGAAGTTTCAGACCAATGAAGATTAAATCATATGAAAGGAACTAAATATCTTTTGATAAAATCAAAGTGTGGTCCAAAGTTACCTGCCCGGTATCACACAATGCTGTTACTATGGTATGTCCAGGTCCCATTGATTTAGCCACTCTAACCGCTGCTGCTACATTAAGTCCAGAAGATGCACCAACAAAGAAGCCTTCCTCATGCAGCAGCCGGAATGTCTGATAATGACCCAGAAATTTGAAAAGGTTAACAATGACAGTTGAAAAACTGTAATGTTTGTTCTTCTCTAATTATACAAACAACATGTATATTTAGCTGTGCATGTCAGTATTTTCATCTGAGAGGATTGTTTGCAAGAATGTTCCATAACAATAATAACAATAAATAAGTATATAAAAAACAAATTCATAATCTTATTGAAAACCCTTTTCAATGACAGTAAGTTGATTTCTGGAAAATTCTAAGAAATGGACAGAATTTTTGAAAACAATCAAGTAATCTGTCTGGCAATCATTTTTATTTGAAAAACAAAAGAATCACATTGACCATTTAATGGTTGAAGGGTCAACCAATGTACACAGTGCATTATGGAAAAGTAGCACATAGAAAGAAGTGTTTCAGAACTTAAATCAAAACTCATTCATCTGCGCTTTATGTGTTATACATGTAATGCCCCAGATGCAAAAATGGCAGGTGCTATGCAGAAAGGCAAGTTGCAGTCAAAATCTGTATTTATCTGTATTGTGTGATCAAAGGAAATTTCAGCGACACTGGCATGATCTATCCCACAAGCCCATTCTTGGGCATGCACAGTGTCAAATGTCGGGGAACTGTGAAATGGTCAATAGACAGTCTACAAAACACATACCTAAACTACAAATACTTAAATTATCAAGAAAATGTTACTTACATACTCAACTGCCTCCTTGTCTGTGATACACATAGCATCATCTATGGGGGCTCCTTCTAGATTTGAAGTGACCCTGCCCTGACCTATTCCCTCTGTGATGGAGTTACCCTCTGACCTCTCCAGTTTACCATGTTTAAACCAGTTGTACAACACACTGCCCTGAAATTGTGAACATGGTTCATTAAATAGTAGAAGCTGTGTTCATTAATAAAGCTATGATTCTTCCTTAAAATTGAATTTGTTAAGGGTTGGTAGTAAGTATAATTAGTAATGTTTAGTATATGCATGTACATGTATGCACAAAAGAGAGAGAGAGAGAGAGAGAGACAGAGAGAGAGAGAAAGATGAGTTCACTATCATGCAAGTATCTAAGAAATGATAAAAAAAGGTTTATCCCACTTCATTCCCGTATTTTACCTGTGGATCTGCTAAAACTACTTGGATATCTTTGTTTTTTTCCTTTAGGTAAGTCCCAACTCCTGAATATAACAAATACTACAGATAACATTTAATCAAAACAGCAATTAAAGCAAAACAATATTAGATATGTACATACCTTGTTGTGTTGAAAAGTATGTTGTATTTAGATACAGTGTTTTAAGGAATAATAATCTGATAAATTCCAACACGTACTTGCTTATTTTGCCTCAAAAAACATTATTGTTGCATCTCTTAGCAAAGTAGATGTGTTTTTGAATATATATTTGGAAAACAGATTTTCCACAACTGTATTTTTTTATAACAGGTTTTATAAGAAAAAGACATAGAGCTGGATTCTAGAAACATAGCACATTTTGTCATTACTTATTATGTACCTGCTAATGTTCCTCCTGTACCAGTTCCAAATGTCACAGCACTTACTTTACCATCTAAAAAATAATACATCAATCATATAATCAGGCTGTAAATAAATACAACTTATAATACAAGCTAAAGTCACTGATCACTGTATGCATAAGATGTTTTAAATCAGCCTGTAATGTATATTAAATAAGACATAATTTTTTATGATAGGCTTTGCTTTCCTTTTGTGAAATCCCACGTGTACAGAATTACGCCAAACAGTTAGAGGCAAATACCACAAATTCATGGGATCTAAATTAAGCCAGTTTCCCAGTTGAGTGGCATAATATATATATATAATTTAGTATTAGAAAATTAGATAAATTTACACCATGCTAACATTATCCCAGACATTCTCGTTTCTCCAGCTATATAAATATCCCAGAAAAGTGTGGACACAGTTTTGAAGACAAATTATCACCTTCAGCGCTATTTATGGAATAAGAGACCGAATATTACAATATTTTCAATATATCATTCATCACATGCCTAACTCAATACTAATTGAAACAAGGAAAGTATATTGTTAACATGAGTTACAGCCCAATGAATGTCAATAAGTAACAAAAGTTAATAGCATTGAGTAAATGTACTGGTAGAAAGTACACTAAGAATGCACCTGCATGATCTGAGGCATGCTTCCAGAAACCAGACAGTAATCAAGTGTCATTAGGTTTACATTCAAAACCAGGTTGTTGGGAATTGGATTTGAATCTTCTGTGCATCTTCTATTAGTTTGATAACAGTAAATGCTTAAAAAGTTATTATGAAAGTTCAAAAGACCAACTGTGCTATAGATAAGTAATTTTGTTGCATTTAAAGCATTAATTGAGTTGCCTACTTTGATCACTCTTGAGGCCATCACACATGAATAACTTAGACTGCATTCCCAGAGATTTAGATCGATCCATCTAGATCGACCTAACTCCCTGGGGGTTCAGGCAAAATTGCTGTCACCATAGTCAATTACCCCATCACAGCTTTTAGTAGGTGGGACAGACATTTAAGCCTGTTAAGCTGACAAAAATCTAGTGAGACTCCCCAGGGGGATAGATTGATCTAAATATCTATGGGAATGGGGTCTTACTGGTATCACAAGAAAGAGGTTGTTAATGCAACAGCTATTTTAATCTCAAACACCTTGGATGCATCACATTAGTATAAATATATTTTCCCGGTTTACCAAATTAATACAGTCTGGCTATTCTATGATATCAGTACATAATACAATCTCTTAACTTGGGGGTGAAAGTCTCACAAGGGCTTAATTGCAATTCAACAGGCTCAATTTTCACTCTTCGTTTCAAAAACCTAATATCGAATCTGTGCCAGACTCTTACCTAACAAGTATACTGACGGCCCACATCTTACCTGTCTGCTGCCATATTTCTGGTCCTGTAGTTTCTATGTGTGCTAATCTGTTGGCAGTGTTGTCAAACTGATTTGTCCACACAGCATTATCCAAACTTTCAGCAAAACGTTTAGCCTATAATATGATATGATATGATATGTTATGGTATAATTTTGTGTTTTGAACTGAGAAAAACAAGACATAAATCTAGATATTGAGTGTTTTTTCAAGGTAATAAATTCATGTGTTGATGACCATTTATTGCAGTGCGAGATTTTTCAAATGGCCAATTGCTAAGGGCAACACTATCAAAAAGACATTAAGCTTATATCTGTGATAACCTGCCACCATGACGGACAAATAGAAAGCCACAAATGCTGAACAAAAATTTGATTTACAGTGAATCAAACAAAAGTAATTATTGGTGTTTCCATGTGGTCATTACGTTGAGAGCCAAGAAATGCGATAATGACCTAGGCTTTAACTTGTGGTCATTATTGAAATTCTAAGGTCTGGAAAAAAATGTCCAGAGGAAAAGTCAATAATTGCTTTCTACAATATGACATCTTTGATAGTAAATAAACCATAGAGAACTAGGAAAAATTGAACTCAGTAACTGTCAACATGAAAACATTCTTTTTCACTTCCTTTCAAACTTGGGTTTAAAAACACATCACAAAATAATATATTTACTGAGACTTTCCACCAGTCGTGGGACCATCAAGTCCTTTAAAAAATTATACCTTCTGATCCCTAACCAATATTGACTGGTTTGGAGATCAATACGGTATAAAATTGACTGGACTGCCCTTCAATCAACCAGTAAGAGTCAAAATTCATGATCATGTAATAGNTATCAGCAAGCTTTTATATTTGTTAATATTAACTTCTTAAAAAAGACCTCATAATTGTAATACATTTAGAGGGACCTTAAATGAACATATTTTTAAAATTTGAAAAGTCTTTGATACGTTCATAACACTAAGAATACCAAATTCTCATAATGACATGCATGTTGTGTTAATATTTTATACTCTCGTTTGTGAGCAAGTTGAATTCTAAAAATAACCCATCAAACTGCTCTAAAATTGATATGTCTAATGGCTATTTACAAATGATACATGATAATAAAAATAATGTAATAGCAAATAATTGCTAGTTTTTGCTACAAAAGATGGAAAACCAAATTCGGACCCAACATCCATTCCAGACAGCTAATTTCAACTGCTGAAAAATCTGTCTTTAAGAATGCCCACAAAGTACTCTTCTGTTTTTAATAGGAATTCTTTATACCAGTTCAAAACCCTTGTTCTTCTTTCAATAACCTTGGATATTGACATTTTTTGTTCGGCTTTTAATATGTCAGGTAGTTCTTCCCATTTTTTGACATATATAACTGGGGCACCGTATTCTTTTAATAATTGTAATGGTGCATTGTGGGATACCTTGGATTTCCCACAATTCCCTGGTGTCATGACATCCTCCACAACAGGCACAGAGCCCATTGATAATGCTTCATAAATTCTGTAACATTCTGTATTTTTCCCCACTGGGTTGAGGGTGACATCGCTCGTCTTTAATGCTTGGATAAAATCCTGTCTTGTATCTTCTGACTCTAAGGGGAGCCACCTGCAAACATCACCAGATTTAAGTTCAAGTTTTAACACATGGGATTTAAGAAGAAATACAAAACAATACTTCAATAAGTGGTAGTACAGCTAAACCAGGATTAATATAATTGTTGAAGAAAAAAGGCAAAAAATCATGTCTTAAAGATGTGTTTTAGTGTAAGCTTAACAGATGCATACAAGAGCAGAAATTTAACTCTATCTGAAATACATGTACACAAATCAAGTGCACTAGTCATGATATTTCGAAGCAAAACAAATTTCACCTGAACTTTCAAAACAATAATACATTTGTACTATAGTAATTCAACACATTCACAAAACAAACACAGTAAACAATTTCAGTAACCATTTTCCACCCATTTTCTTAAATATTTAATAATGTCAAAATAATTTATGACAGACTTACTCATATCTGGGCCTGAGGTAGCATAAGTTACCCATGTTGTGCGCAGTCAGAATTTTCATCAAAGTTTCTCTGGAAGAATTAGGGTACACAGTGCCCAAAAAGTTACATATATATTGCCTCGGTTTCATTGCATTGATTATGGTGTCCCTAAACTTTGGAAAACCTCTGTACCTGAAATGGAAGAAAGAAATGTTACACTTTTTAAGTATTAACATAATTTATATAAATATTTATATGTATTGATATGTTACCATATCATTTCATGTAGCTTCACCATTAATTAAACATACATAGTTGTTGTAACTTTAAATCTCAAAATATGCACTTTGTGAGCATGGCATGAGAAAGGCAGCAAATGCATCATGTTTTGTATAAACTTCAAATACGTCAGTCTCAGATAATCAGTGTAATTAGTATTTTTTTTTCTATCTTAATTTACTAACATACCTTTTAAATCAGTCAAACAATCAACCAGTACCGATACTCTATAATTATGATTAAATATTCTATTCTTTGTCTGATCACTCACGTAGCGACACCTAGTGGCCACTGGTAGAAGTTCACATTGTCCACATCTGGACTATCATAAACAAGAAACACCAGCTTCACCAGTCCTCCATTCTGAACTAAATACTGCTTGATCCACTCATTATCACACTGCTCATTGCCCAAGAGTATCACAGCTACATTCTTCAACTTTTCAAAAGTTGACAACGAATCGAGCCAAATCTTTGCAAAGTCTATTTTGGACTGTTCTCGTCCATTGAGAACAAGCACTAGGTTTTCAACGTCCTTGGGGGCTTTGTGAGGAACAACCCCTGGTCCAGTCCTAAACCTGGCATGGGGAGACAAAATTTGGGAAAAATGTAAACATTCGCTACCCTAGCAGTCTGAACTGTTACCAGTTAAAAACTTAAAACTGAAAGCATTAACATTCATTTCGGACAGTGTTTTGAACAAAAATGCATATACAGTGTAATTCATCTAAATATCAATTAAAACAGAAATCATATTATGTAACATTATATTTACCACATCAACTATACATTCTATAACAACTGAATCAAAAAAGTTATAAAAAATTAAATAAATAAAAAATAACATTTTCTAGTAGTCATATTACAAAATGAAAGAATACCACACTAAAATAATTTAGTGATAATAATCCCTTTTAGAGAAGTGCAATTCTTCAAATCACCTAAAAATGAGATTCTGTATTCGCTTGCTGCCATATTGCCAGACTCCTCCCAACCTGTCCTCCAAGGTACTGTTCATGATGTGCTCCCACAGGTACAGACCTGAAACAGTCTGGCATTAAACTATCACTTATCTTTTTCTCTTAATAAATGAATTACTGTAACAATAATTTTCACAGCAGTCTGTACCAGTATGTCATTATTGTGAGCATGTTAATCCTGGCCTCTAAAAAGATTTTTTTTAATATCAGCAAAATACTTCTTTAAATAAAATAAAAAAATATTTTAAAATGGCTTAAATGTAATTTGGCAAATTGATATTTATCCATTATTTCCTAATTAAATGTATTTTAGTCTGATGTACTTTGTTAATGTTATGTGTAGAAAGCTTCTAATTTATTACAGATTCCGGAGTCTACTTTCAGCATTTATAAGTTTTTTACATTTTTTACTTTAAGATCTGCAGACCAAATACCACAGAATGGCCTTTGAATAAAATGGGAAATGTGATAAATATGAATAAAGTCAAAAGTTTCTTCAAACAAAACATTGAAATTCATATCCTTACCAATGGCAGCTTTCCCCCATAATTCAATATTATGTATTTTCTGTGATGGGAGTTTTTTCACTGCACCAAGCTCCAACTGGCGCCATGGCAACATGCTGCCATGACGACTGTTGCCATGAAGTGCCTGCTTTTCAACATCTGACAAACTGAACACTGGGGCCTGGAAAGGGGGTCTTCTCTGTCCACCTTTTTCATCCTCAAACTCCTCCCCCCACGGGTTCCAGTTTTCTTCTTTGCTCTTTGCAGAGAGCCTTGTACCACTTAAAGCTGGAAAAAAGTAATATATCAAAATTAAATAAATCAGTCTGGGACGTTAGCCACTGGTAGCTTTTTCAAAATGCCAAAATGTGAGACAACTGGCTGTCAGTGGTGCAATCTACCAGTATCATGTATTAACTTAATGTCAAGGGGACAAAAACTGTGAATGTGATAATGAATACAACAGAGAGACAAAGAGAACACTGAAATCTAGAGTCATGGAACAAAGAGACAGAGTTGGTGGTGGTGGTGGTGGTGGTGGGTGGGGGGGGGGGGGGAGACAATTTATCTCTCATATGGGACAGCACTATAATTGATACACTAGTAAATATTGCTTAGCCTCAAGTAGTAACCCACACTATGACTGAAGAAGGTCACTGTCGTGATCGAAAGCTTTGTTTGGTACAGCGCTATATTTTGTAGAAATTGAACAGTTTCAGCGTACAAAAGAACCTGAATTAAAGATTTAAACTGTACTTTTAATACTAGTACTGAAAAAAAAAAAAAACATTCGATGGTCTTCCCCCTACCAAATTTGATCCCATTTTGGAAAGCTGTATTTTCTGCTTTTCTTAGTGTTTTCTGCAGCCATATATACGTTGTGTAGCAGGTAAAGGCGACATAAATGCAAAAAATTCCCTGAGCAAGCTTCTTAAGCGAGCACCTCATTCCGCCATCATGACGCGACCAATCCAAAGCTGCAATTGCAGGTATCAACAAGTATCAACAAAGATTTCTAACTTAAGTATGTGATTTTACATTTGTTTAACTAAACAAAAACCAATTTCCTTATATTTTAGATACTCTAATTACATGCAAAGGGCAGAATTTATCGAAAAAAATCATGTTATCATCTCGAGGTAACAAGGTAGCACCGATACAACTAGTTATCTCTCATTATCGAGATGTCGGTTTACTCCACGTGACCACTTCGAGATTTGCCATAGTCAACATGTCTGCGCCCATCTCGCCTGTGGTGGAGGCCTCCTCCAGACAGGATTTGTGCGAAATTGAAGCCACAGTAACCAGCGGATTTGAAGTCGTAGCATTGCAAGATGCCGTCGAGAAGTTGGGTTGTAAAGTCGTCAGAGGAAGAGGCAGGATTTTTATTCACATCCCTGTGAAGCAAGCGGAAAAGGTATCGTTATCGCGACCGTGTTTTGGTTGTGAGCGCTGCCGTTTTCCCCGTCATTCTTTTGTCCCGAATGATTTGTAATTGATTTTACCCTGTTTATTAATGCAGTTATAGGATGATGTGAATGGCTTTTATGTTGTGAAGACTTATTTGTTCTTTGTACCTATTTAGGAAGGGTTTAAGTCGGCTGGTAAAAGCCAGACATAAGCCAGACACTATTACGTAACACGCGTGGCGTAACTGCCCTCATTTACGTCTGGTGTATTGATTCTCAAGATGACGGATTTAAATTGAAGTGTTAAATAAATAATGGCGGAAAAAGGCAGAATTCAAGGTAAATAGCGACTATGGGATAAGAAATACGTAAAATATGGAAGGCACGTTCGTTCATTTAACGGTACTTACATACTAGCACTACCAGTATTAACCCATTACAGTGACGTCATATTTGCTCCGTAACACTAGTCCTGCGGCCATGCTGGAGGGAATGAACGACGGGGAATAGTAGCGTAAATATAGGTAAACCAAATAAAATAAAGTAAACTTCATATCACGATCAAGGACACCAAAGGGAAAAGGATATATACAAGCTGAGGCTTCAGCTGATCAGCGAGATCGACCGATATGAACTCAAGACAGTCTAAAAACGTGAAATCCTACTAAATGCTACTTACTCAACATCGTGTTGTCAGAAGATAGTTCAGTTATCTTGTACTTCATTTTTCTTGTTCATTGTTCATGTTCACAGTTATAGTTTGAGAGAGTTTAATGTGTAATCATAAGTTTAACCTTAAATAGAAGCAACTTTTTTCATGAAGGATAGATATAAGAAATTTGAGCTGATCATCAGGCTAAAACCCTTGTGGACTCAAGGAAGAATGTATGATTGTCTTATGTCTTTGGGGATTTTCAGATGCTATTGTTTATACAGAAGTAAAGTATGCAGAACATTTGCTCTATACCATCATCAACTTTTTAAATTATTTCAGCATTCATTTTGGTTCATTAGAAAGTACATGTAACGAGACTGTTGTTTGAGAGAGTTTAATATTCACCATGAATGCAACCATTCATATAAGCAACATTGTTAGGATTTTATTATTATTCAGTCATTCACAGAAGCAAGGCATTTTTCACACTTATGTATTTATGATGTCCAATGTAAAATAACAATAATTCAGTTCATGAATTGATTTCTGCAACCATTTGCTTAAACATATAGAAAAAGTGCACATTTTGTATGAATAAAAGTGAACATGAAATGCTGAGTTCTGAGTGTCGCTAAAATTAAATAACTCCTGTCATGCACTGGATTTCACTCTCCTGATGTTCAGATCCTGTCTCTTCAGCTGGCCACAGAGATCTATGAATATTTTTTGCTGCTTCTACCTTGTGTGTCATCTAGCTGCCTTTTGTACCTGTCATCAAAAGCTTCCTTTTTTTTATATATATATAATTTACTTGCACCCAATCAGTGTGGCTTGGTGGGAAATGCCTGATCAATTTCCTAAATGTAAATTAATAGAAAGATAACAATAGTGACTTTTATTCATATTATAACTTACAACATTACAGTTGAAAGGAGCAGAATTAAACATTTTTACAGAGGAAAGTGCAAAATTATTTCATGAGGTTATTAAAGTTATATGTCAATAACACCTGAGGTAGAATTAACTTGCAAAATAAAATTACTCTTATCACTACACCAAATCGAAAATTAAGCCACTAACTTCCAAATACACTTCATACAGGTAATTGATTTAATTGGCCCAGCTCAGCTGTGTACAGTACAAATATAGCCTTGACACTAATTGGGAATAATGCTAACCAGGTATAAAAGAGGTAGGTGACAGCCGATAAAATCTAGAGAGCACCGTAACTGATAACAAATTACACCCAAGGCAATAGGTGAGTATTCATTATAAAAGTCCAAACCCTGCCTGGGTATTTCCACACGTTTTAACAAATTAACACACTCTCCACTCACACTTTTTGGGCACTACTTTAAATATATACGTGCGCCCCAAACGTACACACCTAGGTCTTTGGTGTTCTACTGTTTTTTCTTTTATGGTAAAATCTGCACAGTTGGCTCTTCATTCTTTGCTATAAAATAAATAAGTTTTATCCTTACTTTTCCGAGGAGTCTTGATTCAAAGCCACCTCGCCGTCTCTCCTCCGTTTATGGTTATAGTTCCTTCACCATGGATTTTTACCACTGCAGGCAGTCTGTGATCGCTTTTAAAGTTAGTTACCTTCTCTCGATCAAATACCCTGCAGTAATTCATCATTTTGCTCGGTTAAATATGAAAGAAAATACAGAAAACGAAAACTGAACTACAGACATGGATTGTTCATGCGCAGCAGACGATTCCGGTCTCCCTCCAGTATGGCTGCCGTTTGTTTTGATGACGCAGGCTCTAATGGGTCAATACGAAGCAGATATGGCAATTGTGATACCATTCTGGCAGGTCGTAATTTGAAGACGGATGGATGAAAAATTCATCTGGGGAGAGTTATATTGTATATTTGACCATTTTGAGAGCTATAAAATACTGTAGAATATTTATTAAGCATGTACCTGTATCTTATACTGTGATTAAATGTTTTAGTGACCTAATTTTGTTTCATTAAATAAAAGATAAGTCCTTTAAAATGATAATTTTTCTGTTAATTGCAATTTACCCCGCAGATTGAGAGAAATATGGTGACATTGTTCAGTAAAGACTTATAGACTTTTCATCATATAATAATATGTAATGCTGCTTAACACTAATTCTAAAAGTAAAGGTAACTGGTTTTCTTTCTAAAATTCTGAAAGCAAGATTTTTTTTTGCAAGGTATTTGTCAGTATTCCAATTTTTATGATTTGCTTGTTATAGATGAATATTAGAGTGATGATGATATTTGCAAGTTATATACTCAGCATTTATATTGATGTTATAATTTAAAATAATGAAAGAATCACAGTCTTGTAAAAGTAACTGCTTTATAGTTTTATTAACAAATGAAAAAATTAGTTTTGTTCTGTTCTTAGAAAACAAGTGACCTTAAAGTCATTTATGCTAATGTCTTTGCCTTGAAAGCTTTTTCGACATAATGGTCAGCAAAATTTTGTAAGAAAAATAAATGAAAATAAAAAAATATATATAAAGGTTCATTTACAAATGATATAACAACCTTTGATAATGTAAGACATTTTCAAATGAATAATCCAAACATTGATTATATCCAGCTCTGTCCTATTTAATTTTATTACTATTTCTCCTTTGGTTCAACTGGAAAAAGTACAAAAATTTCTATAAGATACTATCTTGCCTTCAAGGGAAAATTAATAGGGATAAAATAAAGGTTGACAAATCATGATATTGTTTGATATCTGTTTGTTTCTAGGGGACAGTGCCAGCATGCACATTAATTGCTATTTAATTATATTTGATATAATTTGACATAGGATCATGTGTTAGGTCATAATGTGTGGAAACTTCTTATTATAAAACTGCAGGTGTGTGTGTGTTATTGCAATAGTATATCTAATCTTGGTCCTTCCAGGTGATTGCATTGTTTTGATTACTCCAGTGTTGCTCAATGTGCACTGTACTGAATGACTCCAGATCTTCAGGTTTAGCCACAGGCTAAATATGTTGTTGTAAATAATTGTGTATCTATAGGCTTTCTGGTACATACTTTATATAAATATTATAATAGTCAATTATTTGAGGGACGTGATTTTATTATTTTAAATGTAGATAGCGTTAGTTGAGTTCATTGATTGATATTATGGAGTGTGCTATAAGTAATCTTCTACAGGAAAGTCCATGTTTGCCAGTGGCCCTGTACATTTTATCTGTTATACATGATGTCAGGGAAAGATTGCTTATTTTTAATTCTCATCAATATCCTGTATGCAGTCCTTTAACTTCCTAATGCTGATGCTTCAAAATATGATATATATATATATATGATATATATAATATATCAAGTCAAGGAAAGAGGAAAGACGAGCAAAAGATATTATGTGTCTTGGGTTACATCTAATATTGAATTGATCATAATAATTAAAAATATTTTATTTATATATTTATTTCACAGGTGCTACAGCTTGGGGGTGTTGATAACTTGTATGTGGTAGTGAAACGATACGAAGATTTCAACTTTTCAAAGGACCAGGTTTGTGTTTTTTTTTCTTTTTTTTTTAATTTCTGAGTCACCAAGAATTAATAATGAAATCAAAATTATTAAAGTGATGTCAAATTTGTAAGTTTTGGTACCCATTGAACCTTAACTTGATGTTATATTCATGCAATTATAACAATTATTAAACATAAGACGTGTGTGTGTGTGTGTGTGTGTGTGTGTGTGTGTGTGTGTGTGTGTGTGTGTGTGTTTTTACTTTTATTTATGTTTATACAAAATCACCCATAATGACATAAGTGACACAGTTGCAGAATTACAAACTTAAGGAATAATGCAACATGTCCTACAGCCCAATATACACAGTAGCATGCTGTGTGATAGCGAGACATTCTATTCAATTTGTGTATATTGGTCTAGGAGACAGCAGTGTATTAATATTTGTCAGACATACATACATACAAAGGGATA